CGGGCGGGGTTTGGGGGTCTCAGGTGTGTTTTGGGGGGGTCTCAGGTGTAATTTGGGGAGGGGTCCCAGCCAGGGGGAGCGGGCGCTGGCCCTCGCCCGCATGCGCCAGGCCGGGGCCTTCCTGAGCACCTGCGAGAGCGTCCTGCTGCTGCTGCTGCGCGACGCCGCCCACCCCAAATTCCGACAGGTGAGCGGCCACGCCCGCCCGGGCCCCGCCCCAGCCCCGCCCTGTCCCCACCTGGGCAGCCCCACCCCAAAGTGAGGCGGGTGACGTCACCCATCCTCACCTGAGCGGCGCCAGCTGCCTTCACACAGGTGAGGTCACGCCCACCGACCACACCCTGTTAGGGCACGCCCATCATGGCGTGGTTAATGGGTTAATTAGGGGTTAATAAAGGGGTGGTTAATTAGAGGTGGGCTAATTAGGGTTAATTAAGGGCTAGTGAAGAATGAGGTTTAATGGGGGTTAATTAGCTCGTTAGGGTTAATTAGCCTTTTGCTAATGGGTTGATGAGGATTTAATGAGGGTTAATTAGGACTCATTAGCTTTAATTATCCCCTCCAGATCCTGCCGCTGATCAAGGAGCCCCCGCCGGACACGGGGCTGATTCTGGGGGGGCCCCTGGGTGTGCTGGGGGGGCTCTGAGACCCCTCAAATCCCCCAGAATCAACCCAAAAATCCTCCTCAGCCTGGTGGGGGTCTGAGCTCCCCAAGTCCCCCTGAAAATCCCCCCCGAATCAACCCCAAAATCTCCTGAAAATCCCCCAAAATTGTGCCTGGTCTGGGGAGTCTCAGAGCCCCCAAATCCCCCCAAAATGGGGGGGTCTATAAACACTGCCCCCCCTCCCCCGACTGCGTCTCTGGGCTTTGGTTTGGGGGGGGTCCCTGGGGGAATTTGGGGGTCCCCGGAGGGGGGTGTGTCTCCCTTAGCCCCGCCCCAGTGATTGACAGTGCGACCCCGCCCCTCAGAGCCGCATTAACCACGCCCCTCCATGATGATTGACAGCTGTCTCACGTGGCCACGCCCCGATGTTTGATTGACATCTCGGCCCCGCCTCTTCCCCCTTTTCTTAATGAACCCCCCTGTGGGAGTGGGCGCTGGCCACGCCCCCCACGCCCCCATTGGCTGCGCTCAGCCAATCAGCGCCCGCCTCTCGCCCCCCCATTCGCCCCCCCCCGCACC